AGGAGCACGTTGAGGAGATCTGTTGGAGGACAAATAACTCATGTTAACTAAGCTGTTATCCACTCCTTGTTCATCTACTACGTAGGATCTTCCACTATCAATTGCCATTAAGTCAGATAAATTACTGTTACTCTGATTGTCTGGTGCATGTGGTTCAAATGGATGTAGACACAAACCTATGGACACATTCTGATTGGTGTAATGATCATTTTCCACATATTCTGCATTTAAATCTAGGTTATGATGGATAACACCTGCATCATGATCACTGCTTTGAACAACATTAAGATGCTCTTGATGAGGGAGAAAATTTGGCCCATTAACACTATTTGAGAAACTTTGAGTGCTTCCGGCACGAGAACTTGACCAACACACAACTCCCAGGGCTTCAGTCGATTCCCAACGGTTGGCCTGGGTTGGGATGCTTTCATTAGAACTGTATTGACCTAAACGTCCAGTAATAGTGAGAACACAGTTGAGGAAATGCCAGAAAATATATGATGAATATATCCTTAATAATCCCAAAAAATCAGGTCCCTATTAAAAGATTATGGGATGAAGTAGGCAGAGTTACCTTGATGGCTCGTCATTGCCCATAAATTACCTCCTAGGAAAGTATACCAAAATGTAACACCAGATCACGTAATGTGGTTATCCGGCAAATTCATTCAGTCTGCAAAAGAACTAAGCAGTTGAATGAGGGACATAAAATAAAAAATACCTCTCCCTTCAAACTAAAATGATAATATCACTACTAACCAATTGGGATTAATGTTCGATACCATATGCAGAACATATTCCATAAAAATTCAACAATGAAGCATAGCAGATAGTCAATTCAGTCATAACTGGTACATACAAATCAAATAGACACTAGAAGCATAGTGAGAAGATAGAAGTAAAATGGGTATGTATATATACTTGTTTGGAAGAGGTCGTGAAACCAAAGCAAGACAAATATAAGTTATAAAAATCACAAACAAACAATCTTTATCTATAATCAAAACTTGACACATAATAATGAAAAATATAAATAAGCTAATTTGCTAAGTCAATTATCAGAAGGAAAGGGAGTAAAGATACGATTTCACATAATTGAGCTGTAAAGCCAAAAATTGGGAAAGATTAAATTAATGCAAAGTAACGATAAAATTTATGAATGGTAAAATGAAATCAAATAGCCATCTTCCATATGATAATCATAAATATTCGCACATGATACATGCAATACAATAAACTGACGAGACCGGATAATCAGCTATCTAACCCTAAAGCCCATATTTAAACATATTGACACACGAGCTGGTAAAAAGATGGACAGTCTTCTGTTTTGACACTTGGAATCTAACAACAAGAAACATAATGTCTCAGTTATAACAAAACAACATAGAAGAAATCTGTACTAAATATTACCACCCACACCCCCGACGATAAACTCCACAGAAGAGCACGACATACAATGATTAAATTTCAGAAACAATCTGATAGAAATACAGTAATACAATTAAGCAGTAAGATTAATGATCATTCAAGGGGGGATACGCAATCACTTCATGCAAGAAACAATAAATAAATGTGGCTTTTTTTTTCACACTTCTCAGGCAAAGATTGTTTTTGGAACACTCAAAATTGAGATTTCAAACCAAAGTCGTGATAACCATTTGATTAGCTCTCCATCAGTCTGAACCCCGAACTAAAGCCATGAAGCATATAAAGGAGAACATAACCCTGACATTGTTAATCATGAAATCTGTCGTGCTCATATGGTTGGGCTACAATTATCCCAAACATAAACTACGCTGAAAACTGAGACCGGGATACCCAACTAACAAGTTGAAGAAGAATATAAAATCCGAAGACAAGATACACAACCAGTGTAAAAACTTTGATGATTCCCCAAACTCCCAAGAACGTAGAACATCTATTCATAGAAGAAGATAGAGGTCGTGAGATACCTGAAACCCACCAATCAATAAAATTGTAAAAGTAAGACGAAGAATTGAGTGTTTACCCAGTAGAGAAAAGGAATCACTAGTAGGGTATCTCGAAGGTGACAGTTTCCGTCGACGGTCTTACTTAGTCTCCTGTGTCGAACACTTTCAGCTTCCCTGCGAAGTTTGAACAGTCCGAAGGCAAAGATGGGATCTTTTATGGATCAAACTGAAGCGCTGTGTTGGTAAAACTGTTCGGATTGGCATTGAGTTCCTATGCCAAATCTGTTCGATGAAAGAGTTTCATAATGGCATAAGAAAACCAAGAACCCAGCTAATAAGGCAATGGGGTCATGGCTGGCTTCTACCAAAAGGTTCGTAGCGCTGTTAGGAGCCTCAATGCAGGACGCCCCGTGGCATGAATTCCCGATTTTCTGCATGGAGGCAGTTTCTCCCTCGTTTTTTCCACCTCGTTGCATCTCAAGCCTGCTTTTACTGCTTCCAGAGCCTTCCTTTGATCCCTCTGTTTTTGTCCCTTTTCTGTGTCATCGCCAGCTATGCTCGCTGGAATGGGAAGTCGGAAACTCCCGCCCTCGCTTTGCACGTTCAGTCTTCAGCACCCGCTATTTTATTACTTTCTTTTTTTATATTTTTTTTGAGCTAACACCATGCAAACTTCTTTGTCAGCTTTTTTTACGTATCTATGAATCCTTCGTTTTTTATGGCAAAAACAATCGTTCATTTTCTTCACAAATCAGTCAATATGTCAATACAATATGCGTAACAAAACATATATGTATAATAAAGCGTACTGTTTTCGAAAATTGACGGCAAATTTAGCTTAAAAGTTAAAACTCTCTAATAGTCTATAATAAATTAATAATTATAGGCAGGCGGGTGGCGGGAAGGTAAGAAAAGATCCAACCAATTTTTAGATATTTTATCAATATTACAAGAATCTAGCAAATATTTGCGTCAAAGAAAGAATCCAGCAAATGCAGGAAGGATTTTGCAAGAGAATGCCCTTAATTAGTGGGTGTATTTGGTCTTAAGCTGTCGTCATTGTAGAATTTTTTTAACTGTCATCTAATCTTTCAAATTTATGCTTTTAATGCAAAAGACATTCAAAGCGAAAACCTCAGGAATTGCGAACTTGGATAGCTAGTTAACGTATTTCCTCTTTAGTGAAAGTGAACGCACCTTGTAAACAAATAAACAATTCATTCCTTATATCGGTGATGGGCATGCAGGAACCAGTTCCTGGGCATGCATGCATTATAAATACACAATCAGCAAGCAATAATAAACTAAATACGTGAGCGGTCCTAGTTTAATCACATTTCAATTTAATTTATTACTGTGCTCGATATACACACTACACGCAGTAATTGTTGCAGAGGGGATAAGGGAGGTCCTTAAACTCATTCCCCACACTTAAAAATAATTAACGCTTTTAAAACTTTAAAACTAAAATAATTAACGCTTTTCAAATGTTAAAACTAGTCCTTCATTACTACTTAGATAGTAATTTTTTTTAGTTAATTATGGAACTATGAACAGGTTTTCCAAGAATCCTGCACTTCCAAGACTGCTCCATAAAGGTTTACTATTGCAAACCCATCGACTGAAACATGACAGAAGAGGACCGTTTCGCAGCACAGTGATTTAACCACGGATCGATTTAATCTCACACCACAGATTTATAATCTTAAAGATAAACTAAGAAATTTTTAGCCACAATTTACCAAGGTAGTAGTAGCACATAAGTAATCAATGCCTTGTTGAAATAATTTCATATTTACAAAGATTTCGAAGTGACGATCATTTAAGTATAAAGAAGGTGGAAGGAAGCCAATGATGAGATACTTATTTAATTATCATGTTGAGTTGAGAGTTTATTAGGAGAGCGAAGTAAATGTAATAAAGTCACCAAATAAGATGAACCATAAAAAACACTAACGGCGACCTAAATTCATTGCATGCCTGCCGACAAACTGCAGATCACCTCATCGTCCTCAAATCATTCACATTTTTTGGGCCTGATATCACATTCACCCAATCACCCCTTCACATCCTACGGAAGTTCTGTGGGCTTTTTAACGGGCTGGGCCTTCTGGTACTCGATTTGTCTGAGTTAGGAGCTTTTTTTCTATTAAAAAAATGAAATGAGTTGAGTCAGATTGCTTATTAAGATTAGGAGATGACTCAAAACTCAAAAATATTTACAGATATACTTATAAATTATTTATTAATAAAATCCTCATATTGATAATGAGATTAATAGGCACACTGAATTTCAGCAAATTAAGCGCTTTCTGTTTTTTTCACATCAAATTAAATGGTTTCCATTCATGCATGCTGGAAAAAAAATTAACGAAAAAAAATATATCATGTTTGAGATTTATACTTTGAATAATTATTTGTGTTTTTAATAGCTTGTTGGGAGACAAAAACACCCCTTGTATAATATAAAACGGTGAAGCACTACAAATTCTGGGGAGTGTAACTCCAAAAAGATTGTCTAATTTTTCTAATCATAACTCATGTACCTATTATACTTTACATAGAACAGAAGATTTTAACTCACAATCTTACGCTTAAATAAAAATGACAATTATGCTGTTAGATTAAAAATGTTTTGTTAAATAACAATGAAGCCATGCGATATTAAATAAAAACTAAAGTGATGATTCAACGCATTTGCACCAAATGTAAAATAAGCCCGCATAATTTACTAATTATGAAAAGTTTGGCTTCCTAAATTTTTTTAATGCTTGATGGTAACATTGATATTACGTTTGCAATAATCTAGAAATAACAAGATATTAGAATATATACAAATTAGTTATTTCCCCCTGAAAATCTGAGTCTATGAATTCATATGTATCGCCTAAAGTAAAAGGAAAAACAAAAAGTCCACAATCCAGCGTCAATAGAAGTTGCTTCATTACTTACAAGAGCCCTTTCCAATGACGTGGCATCTGGTGACACAATGACGAAACATGAGGACACTTCTTCACATAGCGCGCCTGTTCACGGCTGCTTACTAGGCCGAATAACATGAAAGAAGCAGCCATTTCACGGCATTGAAAATTCCAGGCTCTCTTGTAAGGAAAAGGAAGAAAAGCTTCTGGCTTTGATACGCAGAAATGGAGCAACTGCAAGATGCCCAGATTGATCAGTTACCCATTGACTTGTTGGCTCACATATTTCTTTTTTTTACTTCCTTCACTGATTTGGCCCAGTAAGTTTTTTCTGTCTTCTTATGTTCGCCACGCCTATGCTTATCTAGTTCCTCATTCTCCTCTTAATGTTATCGATTGCGGGAAAATTACAAGGGCCAGTATCGTGTGCAAGAAATGGAAGCGAGGGGTAAGGGAATCTCTGGCTCACAGAAGAAATTTGAGCTTTGCCGGTTGGAAAATGGATGATGATACCATCGCTCGCCTCGTTTGCCATGCCTACAACCTTAGAGAACTCGACATGTGTGTATCTGTCTACATTTCTTCATTACATAATACTCGGTTATAATTTTCCTGCCAAATTTTATTTGATAGTTTTTTCTTAGACGTTATTTTACGTGATCGCTGCTTGTTTTTTGGATACCAAATATGTTTTTTTAGTATTTTCTGAAAAGCAAAGCAATGAGTTTTATTGTTTCGGAGATGATTAACAAATTTTATTCGAAAAATGACATTGTTTGAGCAACTGAATTGACTATTTAACGGTCCTCCTGCTATTTCAATGTCAAGGAGAAAAAAGTTGATAACATGTTTGTTCGATTGATGGACGTTGAGAAAATTATGGTTTCATTTGAAACAATCATCGGAAGCTTGTGTCCGGTGGCCCAAAATCCTAAGCTAGAGCAACGTCTCACTTTTGATATAAATCTCCATCACTCCTTATTGTGTCCACTTGTAATGGATTAACAATGCTTCACTCTTCAACTCCTTCCGCATAAATCATACCTTAATTGCATTTTTTGACAAAGAAACGAAAGAATTTTGAAATTCTCTTGACATTTTGTTGGTCATCTGTTTTTCAGTCTAACCTGTCAATTAGAAACCCTTGGGCCTTGGGGTGTTATACATCTCAGTAATCAAACTAAGAAGTTGCCTGATCAGTAAATGGATGCACATTCAGTACACTTCTCTCAATGAGTACATGATGAAGATTTTCTCAGTTTCGTGAAAGTTGTCAACTTCACAATCCAGCTAATTAGTCTTAAGCGTCTGGCTCCGTTGTTCTGAGTAAACTGGTAATACAATATGTCAATTGAATTGATTTTCATCACTTTTCGGCGTTGTCCATTATGAACTTAAGAATGGACTTGGGCGGCTAAACAATGACCGGACAGTCCTGTCACATACCAAATTCGCAGTCAATAGCTCTCTCTAATGGACTAGCTAGCGAAGCCATATCTTTGACGTTTGCTTTTTAATTTGTGGAGGCTAGTGGTTGTAACTACATGGTAGCTTTGTTTCCAGGACATTAATTTTTGATATGATGATAAATCATATATGATTTAAAGTGAGGCCACACTCTGACTCTGCTAGATACAGGGATGAACAAATTATGTTACACTCACAGCTTTATTTTAAACCTTTGATCAATGGATGAGACATCGAAGGTGGCATTGACTAGTAGAAACTAAAATCTGTTTTTTTTTTTTTTTAAAAAGTCACTGCTGACATTTTGATCCATTTTGCACCAGGTGGGAGCAGATAACTTGTCATACTGTATGCTATTAGCATGCAATACATAAAGTGTATTATATTAAAATTTTCTTGTGCTTTCAGCCCAAGGAGCCGATGGGGTTGCCAAATCACTGATAGTGGACTGCTCAAGATATCTTTGGCAAACTGCGTTGGCAATCTCACATCCATATCTTTGTGGGGTTTAACAGGGATCACAGATGAAGGTGTTGTTCAACTGGTAATATATAGTTTTACGTTTTCGAGCTTAGATTTCAAGGACGGTGCGTTTAAGATATGTTTTTTGTTATTTATAACCTGAGTATATGCACAGTCTCAGAAAAATGATATTGACTTCAAGAACCAAAAAAACAAAATGGAGAGAAACTTTGAGTTAAAAGATAATGGTTTTATGAAACATTTTTTGAATGTTAGGCGTCAGTTCTGCTAGATTGGAACCGATGGTATGCAGTTAAATGAACCTTTTAATCAAAATTGGATTGGGTTGGATTCACATAGTTTCCTGGCGCTTGCCAGGTCGGTGAGTTAATGAATTTTTAGCTTGGACCTTTCAGCATTTTCTGAAGACTAGCTAATGCCTTTTTTCCCCATGATTCTAACAGATATCGAGAACTAAATCCTTAGAACACCTGAATGTTGGTGGAACAATTATCACGGACGAAACATTGTTTGCTATCGCCAGAAGTTGTCCAAAGTTGGAGGTAAATTATGCTGTATAGAAAGTGAACTCTAGGTTTTGTTGCCTGGGCAAGAGTCAGAAGTTGCCCTCTTTTCATGTTATCCCCTCCCAATAATTCATCCGTTGCTTGAGCCTGACCACGTAAAGAGGATGACGTCTGATATTTCTATTTTTCATGATTATTTACCGTTTATTTCAGTCCATTGTACTGTGGGGCTGCCGTCATGTTACCGAGAGTGGGCTTGTGGTATTAGTTGATGAGTGTCGGAAGCTCAAATCGATGAATGTATGGGGAACAGGTGTTCCTGAACACTGTCTCAGCAGCTTGCTTATCAGATGTCCAACTCTTCAGATAAAAGTTTGAGAACTGATCTGGGCCGCTTCTACGCTCTCCGTTTCAGGGACACTTTTCTTGTATTCTTGAATTCCTCTGCCAAGAAAACCGAGCATATGTGTGTGTTCCAATCTCATACCTTGCACAGGAATTATCCTCTCGTAATTCTATTATTTTTCCTCCTCTTTCAATGTGTTGGCACAATGATTCTCTCAATTTTTTTTTTCTGTGGGTATAATAATAAGAATTCACCAGAATTTAGAACAATTTTTTTATCATTATAAATATTAAAATTTTAATTTGTGAATTGCTTCCTATTAAACTATTAGGCGGAGACCAAGATTAATGGCAGATTAAGTGAGGTTACGGAAAAGAGAAACTCGAAAGTGAAGCAAAGGATATATAACTCCATTTCATAAATGAAAAATGAACGTTGGCTTCAAAGGAAGTTTTGGTTGTTTTTTTTTTTTTTTTGACCGGAAAGTTTTGGTTGTTTGGGGTTATAAAAAATTGGAGAATATGTAGAGACTAAGAAAGGCCACGAAGAACAATAGAAGCTACTCGGAAGTTTGGATTTTGAGGCGTGCCATTACTGAGTGCATTGAAAAGATGGTTCGTGATAGGTTATGAGTTCTAGGACAATTGAAACCTAGCGAGATAAGTTGGCGGTGAGATTGTGTAAAACCATAGCGCTGTGCTCCTGATATTTAAGGTGAGCACTGATAAATAATTGCATGATCTTAATTTGGGCCATATCAGAGTGCACGCTATTATCGCAACGGATGATTTTTGAAACCTGCAACCTCCGGCCACATTGTTTGGTGGGTTGCCCGAAAATGACCCTATTGTCGTTTCAGAGCAAACATGGTTTTAGCCCCTCCAAGCCACACACAGAACAGAACAGAGGAATTCAACACTGACGGCCACAGTTGAAGCATGAGTCCACGACTACCTCGAGCTCATTTTCCGATTATCACAAAATATGTTTTACTCCCTGTCCCATAACATAATTACATTCATTTCGATCATCAAATCTCCATGAAGCTCTCATTTAATATGTAAAACTCGTACAAGTTCCTCTGCTAAACCTAGAGGCCCATGTTCTAAATTCGTTATAAGGCTTTTAAGACTTGTTTGTATCGACTTCCGACTTCAAGGAAAATGGAAGACCCCATTTATCGGAGAGGAAAGAAACTAGAAACAAGTTTGTTAGGATATCAGCATATCAATTTGACAATGACCGGAAGCTACCCATCCTAAACTTATATTTTCTGTCGTTTTCACAAATGATGCCTGGGTATTGAACCTGAAACATAACAGGAAGAAACATGACAAATATTAGCATAAATAAGTTGTTGGCACATGATTAAAATGGGGTACGCGGGAGACAGCAAAATTGTAAATTTCGTGCGGTGATGATTAAGCACATCGTCAACAGGAGCAACAGATATATGATTCAATTTTCAAACACACAATATTTAGAGAGAGATGCATTGATTAAAATGGCAGAAACAAATCTCGAATAACTACAATCATCATAAAATTATATTAATCTACAAGTGAACTAGATCTCTTTCAATGCAAAAGCCTTCAATCGTTCAATTATATTAAGTTGAATCACAAGCTTCCCGTAAGTTAACGAATTCCCGACCTCACTTGTAGCATCTTAACATACTCACTCGAGCTGCATTATGGTAATTATGGGAAACTTAACATCTAAATCATCTAATCAGAACTTGGTCAAAAACACCAGACATGATGCATATGCAAATATCAAATCATAATCAGTATCAGACAACTTTCTTTAGAACCACTCCATTTCAGATTCATGGAATTGATGTGCCTAAAGACAAATAAGAGAAAGAAGCGAATGTGTTGCTAAGAGTAAAACATCCAGAAACCAAACTATATTCCAACTATAAAACGTACCTAAAATACTTCCAACTCGAGGAACAATTCACTCTCTTCTCATCAATGCATTCCTTAGATGACGGCACAAGATCCATTTATATAGCTTCGTCAATCCCAAATTTCTGTCTCATGAAATTTCACAGATGAAGCACGATAGCAGCAAACATACTAACATTCTAGAAGATACTTGAAAAATGCCTCTGATATGATATACAATAATACTGATATCATAGTAGCAGCAAAACTGCTACAGGTGGGAAGAAAAACAAGAGTAGCATATGATTTGGAGAATGGGCCGGGGAAGCAGATCTCGTAAACTGAACAGATCCAGTAAAGCTCCCAAAGCTTCCAGAAGTATTGGTCATTTGACTTGCACTGGGTACCGCAATGTTCTTGCAGGTACCAAAAGGCACTTCAGCCTGCAAATTCCCAATAACGATGTGACTAACAAGCTATGCTTTCTTTCACGAAAGATATACAAGTAGAAACTGGCAAGATAAAAGCCATCCACATCTAGGATGTGTCCACCAAGAGATGCAGTTTACGAAGCAAATTGTTAATATAGACAAGAAGGGAAATTTTCAAGACAAAGAAGCAGGTTCAAAACAAAAAGATTCAGATCAGAGCATGACCGACTACTAAATAAAGCAACGAAGACAAACCTGGCAAGCTGCGATGGTACTGCACCCACATAATGCGTGGCCGTTCATTTTATCCACAACATCAAAAACACCGCCCCCATCACTTCTCTGCATGAAATTACACTCAATGTTAAAGCAAAAATGCAAGGTCTTGGTTATGCATAAACGAGGACGCACCAAGTTAAAACCGTAAATAAATAGGAATACCATGTAAAAATTAACGGCTATAAAGTTCGGCAGCATGTTTCCTGCATTTTTGTAACAAGTATTCACCATCGCCGCAAGTGGAGCAGAATGCTCTTTGCATGAATCAGCTTCAACTGGATAGGTTGGAAAGTAATTCTGCAAGAAAAGTGATGCGCTTCTAGAATGTAATGGCTTTGATTCTTTTCTATGCGAGCAAGATCCCTGTTGAACTCCAGGATCTCCAGCTGAAAAAAGGACACATAATATTATGAATATTTTATTTCAGTCGTTCATAACCATATGCCTGTCACTATGATATTGTACTTACGCTCATTTTCGACCATGTAATTCCACTGATAAGCTATTCCTTCTTCAGCTTCCTTTGAAGCAATGGAAGTGAAAACAAGAAGACGGTAATTTGCTTGAACCATCTCCGTTATAGTGGGCCAATCTTCATCCTTTTTCGGCATCTTAGACACAGGAAACCAATATTTATCCAGTCCCGCTCTGGTAAATAAATTAGTCAATCCTTTTGGAGAATGGACGTAGTCTTCAATTATTATGGTGATAATCTCTGTTGGGTTTTCTGTCAAGAATGCTTCGACTTCGTTCAAAGTATTTACTGCAGGTTGCTGAGTATATTTCAATGGACATATTAAAAGACGCCCCATGAAAGTGCAATCATAAAAGTACATTTAGATGGTAAGGAAAAAAAACGTAGGAACATGGGTTAGAGTACAAATGCGGTGAAAGTGAAGCACTGTCCCCGGAAGGAATGGCAAAGCCAGATGTCGTTCTCGAAGTCGTACATATCCAGCATAAGTCCCCTCACTCCATTCTACATCATATCCATCAAAACACATGAATAAGATTCCCGGATGAAATGATTGCATTAAAAAGATACGAAAGGTTAATAGGATTTTGTAATCTTGAGTAGTTGTCAGGGACCGAGAGAAAGGAAAGAAGATCATTCTCAGTCGTTCATCTTGAAGCCGAATGAGAATCCAACCCGACCCAAAAAGGGACAGAGGAAAAAAGTAAGAAACAAGCAACGGACAAGAACAAAATCGACAAGAAATATTTGTGATGTTAACCCCGTCTCTTCCTCTCCGGAATCTCAGAATAGGGAAAGAAGAACGCAAAGGCATACTCTCAATTGGTTGGTCACAGTGTCTTCTTGATTGTAAAATGTTAGCCTCTGCACGCCAGGCAAGGATGGTGCATCAACGATGCTGAATGAATTATGGGTCATTATCCACGTATACTTGTTGAAGGGCAATCCGTTAATCTGCATATGAAAAAAGTAAAGTTAAACGAAAGTTCCCACCATCGACCGGCAAATTCCCAAGACAAAAGAAAGAAGTTAGACTGCAAATTCAGAGTGTATCAGACTCTAATTTCTAGCTGCAGAAGTAAAGAAGCTTACGATCGATGATGGAATGGTGGCTAGGCCTCTGGTACAGATAGGCTGCGTCCTGCCCAAAGCAGGGCAGTTGCCACAGTAGAGACCTGGCCCGCAATCCGTGGACGAGGAGCATGATTCCAGAAGCTGTGAATTCTGGTGAAATTCAGCTCAAACTGGGGAAAAACGACAAAAGGAAAAAGAAGGGAGAGAGCACGGATCCCTTGATAGAAAAGAAGAGAGAGAACCTGACAATTGCCATTAGAGCAGGCGGAGGAAAAGGCAATGAAGAGAGAGAGGAGAGATAGAAAGAGGAAGCCAATGAGAGGAGGTCTGCATTTTGCACCGTACATGAAGAAAGTGTGCAGAAGGAAAGCGGATGCCTACGCAGACGGTGGAAGCCACCCGGCGCGGAGAGGGGAGAAGATAGTGGAAGCCAATGCGGGAAGAGAATGTCGATCAATCATAGTTTTGGCATCGGCCGCGGCCTTTATCGCCTTTAATTTTCTCTTATTTTTAGGCAACAGCTACTTTCGCTGTCACAGTCTCACTTCAATTCTAAAGTTACCATTCTATTTTCTTCAATGAAAAACCAAAACTTTCACCATATATTTGTCCGTTCTTTTTTTTTTTTTTTTACCAGAACTATATATTTGTCTGTTGTCATGCAAGTATGGATATGACAGTGATCTTTAAGTTAAGACTTGTAATTAGTTGCAGAATAATTTTTTCATTATTATAAAGTTCATCCCAATAAAATGAAGCTCGGCAAGGCGTACAATAGGGTTTCTTACATGCTACGTTACTTTTCCGAAATTAAAAATTAATGCAATTTTAGATCAAATTTTATTACCCGCTGTTGTTATTTACATATATCAAACACACAAGTTCTGAGTCTTGAGAATTACGGTAATCTAAAGATTTCATTTGTGCCCAATTTGGTATGATCCATGAGTTTTAATATTTCGAACAAAAAAATGAGTTTAATACGAATAATTAGTATAGGAAAAGGAAATAAAATTGTTGGCGAAAAAAAGGGGAAATGAAACAAAGTGAAGAGAGGAAAATGAATGGAATGGAACTAGTATTTTTAAAAGTATGCATGTTATATTAGGAAAAATAAAATAGAACATTAATGTATTGGTTGTTAAACTGAAGTTAAATAGACAATTAAACCCGTGTTAATGACCCTTCGTGGAAAGCAGGTTTGTCCATGGATGAAACCCATATACCTATCGGATGCTCAAATTTCTGTTGGCTGAGCAGCGAAACTGTATGCATGAGAGTCCGAAACTACTGCAAAGCAAAGCACTCGTCCATTCACCCACCGCCTCCATTACAACAAAGCAAATCAACTGCCCAGCAATCAGGGTCACAATAGTTTCTTCCTTTCCAGTTTTTGGCCGGGCCGGGCAGGGCGGGGCCCAAACAAGAAGGACACTCAACATTACTTTTTCGTTAAAGTGCTCCGCTTTCTCCCCCCTCTCTTCCTATCTTTGCCTTCCATGTGGGGTATCGCCCTGCAATGCTCACTCCAATGGAAATGCTTCTTCACACACTTGATATTAAAAATGGAAATGAGAACGCCAGAGAATGCACTTGGCGGTTAAACTTGGGAAATGGGGACGAAACTCGGTATTGTGATTCGGGCAGTAAGCATCACATGGGTTAGTGTAGCGAGTTCAGTAAGCATAAATGTGAAAATGAATTGTTTATAAAATTACCTACGCCAGATACAATGGCATCGCCCCTACATAAACAGCATTGCTTTCCGCTATCATCAATTAGATTGCTTCCTCTACCTGTGAAAGAATAACAAAAGAATTAAATATTGACTTTTTGCCAAAAATCCTCACGGTTAAGCAAGCTTCTTCGCCCCACCACTTGAAGGAGCGCCGTCATCTTTTCTGGACCGAGGTGCCTCGGGCTCATAACGATAATCATAAACAAGTTCCTCCCCGCCACGGATCCTTTCCTTGGCCAAAATCCCTACTCTGTGATCTGTGCAATGTGAAGCCCCATGAACACACACAACCCCAGCAGCAAGTCCTTTCTTTCCCAGAAGAAGAATAATATTGTAGGACTCGAAAGATCTGCGCCTGACGCATTTGCAATGTTTCCCATCTCTTACGTTATAACAATACAACTCTGAGGATGAGTGATTTGATGGCTGCTTCGTAATAATGGTATCTGTTTCTCTAATTTCACAAGCTTACAATCTTTTTCCTGGTTATTTCTATTTGGATGTATATATGAAGGGATCGTCTTATGGACTCTCTTGTATAGCATTCGTAATCTTCACTGCAGACTCTTACAGATATACGTCTCACTGTATCTGTGTATCCTTCATATATTTTTGTCGTAATCATCTCCTATTCAAAATTTATGTATGCTCCTTTTTTCCTTTCATTTTTGTCTAAAGTACTGAAATAGCAGGGGAGTTGAACTTGCTATGTAAGACTTGATTTTCTTCATGCTTTGTATATATACTGATCGGCAAGCTTTATATTAATCCTTGCGGCAAACTTCTGATGTAATTTTGATTATGATTTATCATTTTTACGTTTTAAAAATCTTCCCGCACGTCCATGTTGCTTCCATTATACGGATCATGTTCTCAACAACGTGCTTTATCTACTTATCCATGTTACATGCACTCATCAGGGCAGGGTCGACAATGGATTGAAAATATATATTTTCAAGGGACTGGCTCTGTTGATTATTGCACCGACAAGAATACTTTCGTGTTTGGCTTCTTAGATATGCTGCTATGTGCAGCGATAAACACTACCCGTACTGAGCTGTCCATCGGCGTTTTCATGCAAGTTTTTCCAATAACATTTTAATAATCTGATAACAACGTTGTTCTTCTGATTATGCATGTACCAGTAAGTTGGTTATTATTACTATAATCTTCTTGTGTGATATAAGTGCAGATATTTTTCATTCTTTAACTAAACATCCAGGGAGTTTTATTTTAACTCACATAGGTCTCCTGGGTTTCATTTAATTATGAGCCACATTATAGCGTCACTTGAGCGAGTTCTGTAATATTATATGGTCTGCCAGACGACTTTATGCGTTTGACCTTTAATATGCATAAGCTACATTTAGTAGACTAAGTTATACAGAGAGAGGGCCCTCGTCCGAGATGATGTGATGCAAAATTGCCTGTAGAATTTGATGTGGAGGGTGTAGATATATATATAAGCAAAAACTTACTGCTGCTTCGCACAATATGCCTCAGGGTCAGGGATCCCCCTTAATGCTACTGCTCATTCAATCACATATATGTTACTCCTCCGGTTCTTAATATAAAACCTAATTTGAGAGTTAATGTTAGTTCTATATGTAAGATCTATTTTATATATTTATCAATATTTTTTTCAAATAAAACCTACTGATATTCCTTTAACAATAATCGAATAGGAGGGGAAGGAAGAAAATTAAGAAAGATTATCAGGATATTTTTAGAAATAACATATTATTTTAACTGATTTAACTAACATCCTTAACCTACTCAAATTAATTAATGAAAAATTACAATGAAGTCCCATCCAAGAGAATTAATTTAATGATTTCAATGGACTTTTTTCTATTTAATTCTCTTAGGTGAGACCTTCTTGCCATTTTCCCATTAATTGATTAGATCTTAAGGAGTGTTTGGGTAGAAACTAATCATGGTTTTAAAAGTGTTTTTACGGTTTACAAAGTAAATATATGGAGGAGTTTGTTTTGTTTTGTAAAAAAATGCTTTTGAGAAACACTTTTGGGTGCTTCCAAACACCCCTTTAAGAGGAGTATATTACTTTGCATGTAATTTCAGAACACGTTGCGGTTGATTAGGCACTTAAGCATTCTCCAGTCCCATTGGCAGTTTCGGAAATATGATAGAAATTTTGACCGATGACAGCAGTCTAGCAAGACTTCGTGCAGAGAAATATGTTAGATCATAACACTCTATGTAGAACAACATATGAAAACTCGAAAAGCAATAATGGTAAGAAATGCGTTTTTTTAATGTCTGCTAATTAAATATGGCACCTTCTCTGAAGTTTTGAACTTTTTTGGATGCAGAACTTGTCGCTGTTGTGCATGTGATCTTAGTTGTTGAGAGATTAATAGTTGCAGGCCCCACCGCGTGAGAGGAGTACATTTACAAGGTGACAAATTCATTAAATGACGTAACTTCCGTTAAGATATGGTGATCTTTTAAGTTTTATTCCATGCAATAAGCCGCTTGATTTTACCGGATTGACCGGCGATGCATTTTTCTTTTGATTCCTTTTATAACTTAAAAAAAAAAGAAGGAACAAATTATATCATCACTTCACTCGTTTGCAGGAAAGGAGAATGACGGTTGAGTTCCAAAAGATCATTTTATTAGCACTTAGATTTCTGATGATATTTTTTTCTGAAAAAATGAGTTCGAAACATCATTCCGATAAATTACAAATTTGAAAGTCTCACATACAAATAAGATACTTTTCTGATCTTTAATATAAAACCTACTTAACTAATTTGATTGAATTAAAAAAGTTAGGTAAGTTAGTTAATTATAAGAAATATAATATGTTTTTTTTTCTAAAATACCATAATCATCTTTCTTAATATCCTCTCTCCCTTTTCTACCTGATTATAGTTAAGGGAGTATCTATATGGATAATTTAAAAAAATTAATAAATATGATAAATATGTTTTATATTTAGAACCAAAATTAACTTAACAATTAAGTCCTATATTAAAGACCAGAGGAGTATTTACGTTCCAAACTAACACTCAATCTGCAACTAAAATCCTGTCTGTAATTGTTTAGATTAATATTTATAACTCACTGGTTGAAGTTAACGTTTTGTGTGAATCTCATGAAGTTATTTTTTTCCCCGTCCATTCTTCAATTTTTGAGATGTCAAGAGTTAAGCTAGAAAAATGATACATGCAAGTTAGAGATGGCACGAGAGTAAATGAACAAAAATTACTTAATTGAAGTGCCGTTGCAAATATTGCTTCTGAGATCTTTTTTTTTCAGTTGTCCAGAATATCCTTCCACCTAAACAGTAAGAAACTAATCTCTCGAGTCTTTAATATAACTTTCAAGAGTTTTCAACTTGATTGAAAAAATGGGTATTTTCAATTATGGTAAAGGTTTTTTCAACACAGGCCTTCAAGTTTTTGAGGTCCAAAAAACCGTAGGCCTTCACGTTTTGAGGTTTGGGCCCTATTAGGACAGGGTCGACAATGGATTGAAAATATATATTTTCAAGAGACTGGCTCTGTTGATTATTGCACCGACAAGAATACTTTCGTGTTTGGCTTCTTAGATATGCTGCTATGTGCAGCGATGAACATACTACCCGTACTGAGCTGTCCATTGGTGTTTTCATGCAAGTTTTTCCAATAACATTTTAATAGTCTGATAACAACGTTGTTTTTCTGATTATACATGTACCAGTAAGTTGGTTATTATTACTATA